TATTAAACATGGCATCTTATTCTTTGGCAGCTCATAGGTGATCTCTGCATGGGGCTGCACATGCCTTTCTCTGCATGTGTGTATTTGCCTGCAAGTGTAATGTGACAGTCCTAAAGCATTTGTGGATGCAGATAAACTAAGTCCAGCTCAAATGTATTCCATAAACAGCTCTTGAGGTACACTCATCTTTGTGTTGTTTCATTTGTTCAGTTCTTGGAAAGTCACAGGAGCTTATTAGACTGCTCTGCCTATGCCCAGGGGAGTCACTTAGGTGGGAATTGGACACCTCTAGCCGTAAACCTATAAAAGGAAGAAATGCATACCATTATTTTTGTTGGGTCTTATTGAATGAACTGGCTGCTCAGCTTCTGCAGAATCCTAAGCACTGTATTTAAAGCCTCCGAGTAAGTTGCTTACTTTGAATAATTTAATATCTGTCACTGGTCCTTCTGCTTTTTCTTTTGCAGTCCCATATAAAATGTTTTATGACAGTTTAAAGAAACATCAGTCATTGGATATCTGTAGGTCAGGCAAAGACTAGCCTGCTTTTAGTGTTTTAGTGTTTGGTTCTTTCTGGAAAGAAAATTCCCATTGCTGCCTATCCTTGTGCAGCCAAGCCGTTTGAAAAACTCACCAGCTGAACACAAACTATGGCTGGGTGTTTTGTCTTCCTTATCTTTTGTCTGTGCCTCATTGCCACCAGTGAATGGAAGGAGGAGACAGAGCAGCTTCTCACACTGACATAATTTGGCACTTGCTGGAGATTAAAGTGAGTATAGCAAGATCTTTCTTTCTGAGGCAGTAACAGGGATCTGAAGTGCTGACTTCTGTCAATATGGCAATGGCAAGCTCCTCTGCCTCTCCTTCCAGTGACTGCTGTTGCTATAAGAAAAGCAAGAGGTACAGGCTTTACCAATATGCCAATGCTTTAGGATAAAATGAGGAGAGGAAAAAATAATGTGAGGCAAGGCTATGGAGGGCTCATAACAGTACAGCCATGAACGATTTGGGTGCATCTGTCCAGCATGTGCAGAAAGGATACCAATACCTAGGGATGAACATGTAATGCATCAGGCACGGCTTCCCATGGTTGTAAACCGGTATAAAAACATTAACCTAACAGGGGTTTTTCTAACTTGTTGTATATAAGAGTGTGTGATGTACCGGTCCTGCTTTTCCCACCTCGTTCTGCCATGAGGTAATGCCTGTTTGCAAACACACATAATACAGTCTGAGAGGGTTACTGAAAGTGAGTCCAGTGTGAATTTTCAGCCCCCTCCACTGGGCTCAAAGAGCCCTCTCAGAGGGCAAACTGCATTCTTCAAGCTTGTTCCAGGCTGCAAAGGTGTGGCTTCTGTTTCTTCCCAGCCCAGGCACATTTTCTCATTTTGCCTTTGGACTGTGGTAGAGGAACCCCCATAGGGAAGGGGGCATGCAGACTTCCAGCAGATCAGGTTAGCTTAGTAAACACAGGCTTCATCAAAGCAAAATGTAGTCCCTTATTGAAGCAGTTTTGGTTCTGTTTTGAATCTATTTCCTAAAGGGTAAAAAATGGAAAGAGTTGTTTGCTTGGGATGAAAGTAGCATGAGTCGTCAGGGAAAACCAGGAGGAAGTACCCAAAGTTTTCTAGGCAAACAAAGCCTGGCAAACATGGACAAGTGGGCTAGAAGCAGGAGCAGGTACATTAAATTCTCAGTCTTTCCCTTGTTCCCATTTACTTGGATGCAGGGCATTTCATTAGCCAGTTGTCTCTCCACAATGCATCAGTTGATCTCGTAATCCCTCGCAGTGAGTTTATTCAGCACTTTTATGGGACTTGAATCTCTCAAGTGGAGTCCTCCAGAAATGCTGAGCCCCGTTGGAACTACTAGAACTTGTGCAAACAGTGTGCCCTGGCTGCAGGGATGGCCAGTGGTCTCCTGGGCTGCGTTAGACAAAGTATTGTCAGCAGGGCAGGGAGGTGGTCCTGCCCCTCTGCTCTGCGCTGCTGAGGCCACGTGTGGAGTGCTGTGTGCAGCTCTGGGCTCCTCGGGACAGGAGAGACACGGACCTCCTTGAGAGAGTCTGACAGAGCACCGTGAAGGTGGTAAAGGGACAGGAGGAAAGACTGAGAGAGCTGAGGCTGTTCAGCATGGAGAAGAGATGTCTCAGGGGCGTCTAGTTACAAATACTTGAAGAGAGAATGTAAAAAAGATGGAGCCAAACTCTTCTCAGTGGTGCTGAGTGTCGGTGGGCACAAACTGAAGCAAATGGAGGTCCTCTGAACATCAGGAAGCATTGTCTTTGAGGGTGACTGAGCAGAAGGATTGAGAACTGCATTCACCCAACTCCTAAATAGGGAAGCTGCAACCACACAAGAAGAGCACTTTGCAAAAGTACCAAAGAGATCCATCCTCTCCTCTGTTCAGAGGAATCAATAGCTAAGTTGGTTCTTTATTTCTGGAAGTTAGTTATTTTATCAGTTATTGGCAACCTTCATCTCGATTGTTAAGCCATTTCTAGCACAGCTTGTTTATGCTTTAGGGCTACTGCAAAGTCCCATGCAGCAAGTTTTTACATCCCTGTTTGCTAGAAGCACCAGCATATCCTCCAAGAAAGCCTGCACTCAGCATGGCCTATTTCCTTTCTTTGCCTGTGCATTTCTCCTGCTATCGCTGTTAGCAAGAAAATGTTGGATTTAGTTAACTTTTAGGTCCGAAGCTGCATGGCTGATTCTCTGCATTGCGTTGTCCTTGGTGTCAAGTTAGCAAAAGCTGAGAAGAATCCATTGTCACATTAATACTTGGGTGAGTTTACTCATCAGTTTGTACTGTGTGCATGTGTAAATGGAGGCCAGATGTTGATACCAAATGGAGTCTAATACTGCTGTATAAATGTGTGTAATACTGGGGCATTTGCCCTGCAGGACTGACATGCTGGAACAAGGCGGGCACTGGGGGTGAGAGAGCCCCGTGCGTCCTCCTCCTCGTGTGCGAGTTCCTGCAGTGCTATAAGAGCCAGAGCTGTGAGCTTTTCCTTCGAGGGCTGGGCACGGCCACGGCAGATGGAGGCACGGGAGCAGGAGGCTTCAGGACAGGGCTCTGTGGTGCAGGGAGAGCAGCAGCTCCCGAGCAGCTCTGCGCTACAGGAAGGCTCCAGCTCCTGGCAGCACTTGCTGCTCCAAGGACAACTGTGGTCTCGTCCAGAGCACGTGCTGGGTGGGCTTAGACAAGCAAACAGTGCTGTAGAGCAAACAAAAGCCGTAGAGAACTGGTGACAACTCCTGAGGCCTCTTCTCTACTAAGTAAGCCATAACGTAACTTCGCTGCCATAGGTTTGTCTGTGAGTGGTCTGTGATTTTGTCTTGAAGATCGGTGCAAATTGGATGATTGGCTGTAGAGTGTGTGCATCTGTCTGTTCTAAGGCAGATGGAGGACTGCAGATCTCCATCCAGAATGTGGCCCACAGTGTAACCGGGAGCATATGCTGTGCCATTGGTGATGCATGTGGCA